AGGCGGTTCGAGACCAGCCTGGCTAATATGATGAAACCCCATTTCTACTAAAAATACAAAAGTTAGCCAGGCATGGTGACGTGCGCCTGTAATCCCAGCTACTTGGGAGGCTGAGGCAGGAGAATTGCTTCAATTTAGGAGCAGCAGGTGGCAGTGAGCTGAGATCATGCACTGCACACCAGCAATTTTTTTGGAGACACATGGTCTCAAAAAAAACAAATAAATAAAAATGAAGCCTTGTCAGAAGAGGTCTCGGACACACCGCCTTTGGGTGAAAAAATGAATTCTATTATTTTTATAATCAGGCAATGGTAGAATCATAAAATGATTGGACTGGTTAGACATCTTAAAGACGCCCAGGACCCAGCACTTTTGGAGGCCGAGGCGGGTGGATCACGAGGTCAAGAGATCGAGACCATCCTGGTCAACGTGGTGAAACCCCGTCTCTTCTAAAAATACAAAAGATTAGCTGGGCATGGTGGCGCGTGCCTGTAGTCCCAGCTACTCAGGAGGCTGAGGCAGGAGAATTGCCTGAACCCAGGAGGCGGAGGTTGCGGTGAGCCGAGATCGCGCCATTGCACTCCAGCCTGGGTAACAAGAGCGAAACTCCGTCTCAAAAAAAAAAGACTCCCAGGAAAATCCTACTGCTTGCTTGATAAGAAAACTAAAGCACTGAAAGTTAAGTGAGTTCGTCATGTTTGTAGAGCTACAAATTGGCAGAGTGACTGGAATTGCCATCCATTTGCTTCTGGGTGAATGCCTCTAGACTTTGGCTCTTTTATCCACACTATACCGGGGCAAAAATGTTTCTGTATTCCTCACATCATTTACTCCCCTCCCTGTATCACACTAGATATGAAAGTGAATATGTGTTTGGACACCTCTGCCCAAGCATCCACACCCCGCCACTCACAGCGGCGGATGCAGGCTAGTAATCTCACGGGTGTTGGGACAACTGAGCTTCCAGAATGAAGACGTCAAACTGCCGCCCGGCAAGGCCTCTTAAGCAATACAAAATGTCTGTCCCTTTTTTACAAACTCTTTGGAGATAATGCCTTTTATTTATTTATTTATTTTGAGACGGAGTTTTGCTCTGTCTCCCAGGCTGGAGTGCAGTGGTGCAATCTCAGCTCACTGCAACCTCTGCCTCCCGGGTTCGAGCGATTCTCCTGCCTCAGCCTCCCGAGTAGCAGGGATTACAGGTGCCTGCCACCATGCCTGACTAATTTTTGTATTTTTAGTAGAGATAGGATTTCGCCACGTTGATCAGGCTGATCTCAAACCCCTTACTTTAAGTGATCCACCTGCCTTGGCCTCTCGAAGTGCTGGGATTACAGGCGCAAGTCACCATGCCCGGCCTAACAGCTCTTATAATTAATTCCTTGAAAATCTTTACAAATCTTCACAGGGCACTAGTGGCAGTTACAGCTTCTCCTTTTCCCTTCATGTTAAAAGCAAACAGGATCAACTACTGACAAAATTAAGTGATGGAAGTATAGATCTTTCAGAGAAATACTCAGCCTTATATTCCTGAAACATTTTCCTGCCTCTCTACTTGAGGAATGTACAGTCTTCTCTTCACCTCCTTTGTCCCTCCGTCTGATCAGGAAAACAACCCAAGCCTCCCAGTCCGGTTAGTTAAAGGGACTTTAACATTTACATTTTAACTAACATCTTTATTCATAGAATGAAGTATTTGGCACTTATTCATGGGATGTCATGCACTAGGAAGCAAGTAATAGATTTCCTGCTAGTGTTGGTGGGAAAGACTTAAAAATTCTGCGTCTGTGTCCATTCTGCAGAAAACACTGCTGCTCCTGCAGTAAAGAGCTTTAAGATTCTGGAGACTATGAAATGCTCATTCATCCAACCAGCATGGATTTGCTCACAGTATGCCAGGCTTGGTGCCAGGAATTGGTAGCCATGCATGTGGCAAAGTTTCACTCTCATGTAACCTACATTCTTATAAATGGGGTAGCCATAAAATAATCAAATAAGTATAGAAATAAACAAGATACACTGGAAGTTCTCCGTACTGACTTCCTCTAACCTCCAGTCAGTGTGTTCTGCAGAGGGCATGAAGGATTTAGGCTGTTCTTCTGTTTCCATGTATTTACCTAACAAGAATTCAATTCTTCTCAGAACTGTTATGCCAGATGTACTTACATAGTTCATATAAGTATCATAGAAGCCAACAAAATACGAGTTGTTTCTGGAATGCTAAATTGAATGCTTTGTAAGGACTTTCTTTAAAAATTACTTAAAAGTTATAGAGTAGGCCAGGCGTGGTAGCTGACCCCTATAATCGCAGCACTGTGGGAGGCCGAGGCAGATGGACCACCTGAGGTCAAGAGTTCGAGATCAGCCTGGCCAACATGGTGAAACCCTGATTCTACTAAAAATACAAAAAAATTTAACCAGGTGTGGTAGCGGGCCCCTGTAGTCCCAACTGCTCAGGAGGCTGAGGCAGGAGAATCACTTGAACCCAGGAGACGGAGGTTGCCAAGATTGCTCACTGTGCTCCAGCCTGGGCAACAGAATGAGACTTTGTCTCAAAATAAATAAAATAAAATAAAAAGTTCTCACTCCAGTTGAAAGGAACTGAATTGTCACTTAAAGGGTGTAATGTATGGATGCCAGTCAGCAGATCCATGCTAATAATAATATGGCTTAAGCGCTATATCATTTATATTAAACATTGTCATAATAAAAGGATTAAGGTTTCTCTATAGCCTATACATATAATATCTTCTTTTTTTTCATTTTTTGAGACAGTGTCTCACTCTGTCACCAGGCTGAAGTGCAGTAGCGTGATCTTGGCTCACTGCAACCTCCGCCTCCCAGGTTTAAGCGACTTTCCTTCTTCAGCCTCCCGAGTAGCTGGGACACAGGTGCGCGCCGCCACACCCAACTACGTTTTGTTTCTTTAGTAGAGACGGGGTTTCACCATGTTGGCCAGGATGGTCTCAATCTCTTGACTTCATGATCCACCCGCCTCGGCCTCCCAAAGTGCTGGGATTACAGGCGTGAGTCACTGCGCCCGGCCAGTACATGAGGAGGCTCAAAGGCAGAGGTGGCCGGACCTCTTGACTCTTGTAACTCCTGTAATCACCCCTTTGCCTGACCTGACCACAAGATAAGCCTCCTCATTTTCCACACTCCAGACTTTCTTACTTCCCCACAAGATAGAGATGTTGACTTCCTGCACATTTCCCGTTCCTTAGTTTCCTGCCTTTCACATACATCATAACCGTAATGTTTCTGTTTCTGGAATATAACAAAGGTGTTAAGTTGGTTTCCTTTGGTCTTCTCCCCTGCGTTTCTTTGCCATCTCTCTGGTTTCTTGTTTCTGCCCTGCCCGGCTGTGTGTCTTGTGCATTCCAGTTATCCCACTCACCTTTCACCTGATTTTAAAAACTCATTCAGCCCAGGACTTACAGTGTGAGTGTGGTTAAATAGTGTTAGGTTCACGTAATGTCTGAAACTTTTAGTAGGAAAAATGCTACCTTGCCAATTTGTCTGTGTCTGAAAGGAGTTTGCATTTAAAAATTTGGCAATTTGACAGAGGCAAATTTAAGATTTTAAATATTTTCTTAAATGTAGACAGTTGATTCATCTGCAGCTACAAGGTGAGGGCAGGAAGTGACGGTGACCAGACGTACCTGAATAAACTCAGGAAAGTAACTCTAGATCGAGGGTCCCAAACTTTAGGATCTCTTGGAGTATTTGCTGAAAAATGTAGGTTCCTTAGTCCACCATCAGAAACTCTGATTCAGTGAGTCAAGAATGGAATAAGAAATACTAAACAATGACCCGATGCAGTGGCTCATGCCTGTAGTCCCAGCATTTTGGGAGGCTGAGGCAAGAGGATCACCTGAGGTTAGGAGTTCAAGACCAGCCTGACCAACATGATGAAATCCTGTCTCTACTAAAAATACAAAAATAATTAGCTGGGCATGGTGGCATGTGCCTGTAATCCCAGCTACTTGGGAGGCTGAGGCAGGAGAATTACTTAAACCTGGGAGGTGGAGGCTGCAGTGGGTTGAGATCCCACCACTGTACTCCAGCCAGGATGATAAAGTGAGATTCTGTCCGAAAGAGAAAGAAAGAAAGGAAGAAAGAAAGAAAGAGAGAGAGAGAGAAAGAAAGAAAGAGAGAGGAAGGAAGGAAGAAAGGAAAAGAGAAAAAAAGAAGAAAGAAAGAAAGAAAGAAAGAAAGAAAGAAAGAAAGAAAGAAAGAAAGAAAGAAAGAAAGAGAAAGAAAGAGGAAAGAACAAAGATGCTGAACAAGATATATAGACAATATAAAACTGGGCCAGTGTATCGCATCTGATAGTGGAGAGATCTGGGGCTGGATCTTGAATCTGAAGGTAATCAACTCCCTGTGATTTCTTTTCCTAATCCATAAAAGAAGGATAGTGACAGTGAGACACTGTGTTGGGGTTAATATTTTAGAAAACATCTACATGTTTCTTTCTTTTGCCTTTCGGAGAGTGTCAACTACTTCTGACCTGTCCAGTCTAACACAAGGTATATTGTCTTGGTAGGGTAGGGGATCTGCGAAGGAGATTAGAATTTGTGTCTGAAGGTTTACAAAGAGGAAGAAGTCAATATTTAGATTCTGACATTCAAGATGGAGTTATGCAGCAGGACCATTGCTATGAGACAGTATTTCTATTTTCCTTTATCCGCTCCCACCTGCCTTCTTCCAGCACCTCACAGTAGCATGAGAAAAATCAGACATGGAAGTTTGAGGTCATAACAATTCTCTTAAAATTTAGAAAACAGGCCATCAGGCTTAGGGCTTTGTGGTAGAATGAGGATATGTTAGGGAAAATAAAAGAAAATCCCACCCCTCTATGCGTGCAGAGAAGGGGTGCATGGGTGAGGAGAGGGTCTTCTTTCAGTTTCCCTCCTTTCCAACCATCACCTTGAGACAAGTGTTGTCTCTGAGTTCTGTCTGGGTTCAGAGGAATTTGTAGCAGAGGTGAGGGAGAGAGGGTGGGGCTAGGCAACACTACTGAGAAAAACAAGTCAATGCACTTTCATTTTCTGCTGACATAAAAGAAACAGAAAGGCGGGCTTCAGAAACCGCCTGCCTGGCTAACTTACAGCACTCAGACTCCGGCAGGATCATGGCTATGATGGAAGGTCAGGGGGGACCCAGCCCCGGGCAGACCTGCGTGCTGATCCTGATCTTCACAGTGCTCCTGCAGTCCCTCTGTGTGGCCGTAACTTACTTGTACTTCACCAATGAGCTGAAGCAGGTCAGTGCAATGCAGTGCGTTCAGTCTCTGAGGCGGTTAGCAGTTGTCTGTTACCTGCTTCTCCTTTGCATGTCAGCTTGCTCCTCTCTGAAGATCCGGCTGCTTTCTTTCTCTGTCGGTAGACTCGAGCTGCTAACTTGCATAACCACTGAGGACTTCGCCAACGTGTAAGTTCGAGAAATTGTGTAAACGAAGTGCAGTCACAGAATTGGCTCCACGAGTTACTAGCAGATGCGGGCAACAAAACTCCCGAGAGCTTTTTTGTTTTCAGAAGTATTTGTATTTTATAATATTAGCTGTTGCAACTGTTCATGAAAGCTTTCTGCTAAACGCTTTATAGTTCTTTTTTTTCTTTTCCAAACTTTTATTTGTGCACATTCGATTGAAAAAGATAACTTTTACAAGCTCTTTGGTGCCCATATTCAGCATACAAAAAATGTAAAAGACTATTCACAAATAAAACTGAGGATAAGTTAGATCAAAATGGAAAAAAATGACAACTACACAGCAGTAAAACAATCTAAGGTAGTGCACACTGTGACAACTCTGCTTATGGGGACATGAAAGTTACTGCAAAAATAAACAGAATGTCCTTTTGTAAAAGCAGCAATGTCATGTCTTGTAAACTTCCTTCTTTATATTACAGCAAGATTTGGAATAAAATCTGAAGGGACGGGTACTTACCCTGTAGCCGTGAATAAATAAAAGTATATTTCCTCATTACCAGTTTCCTTTTGAGTCCAATGTGCAGCAATCCAAGGTGCACAGTTAGAAATCCTGACCAATTAAGTGGGGAATTATAAAATTTCTTTCCTGCTTTCAAACACAAACGGTAAATCTGTTCCACAGCAGTCGCAAAGTCTGTAAATTGGGCCTTGTTACTTTGATACTTTCTGTCAGAAAAAATCTGTAATGTAGCTCTTAGAAACTTTATCTGAGAGCACACAGCAGAATGAAGTTCAGGTTCGTAACTCACATGAGGTCTATTGTTCTTTATGAATTCTGGCAAACAGATTTTTTTACTTTTTAATTTTTTTATTTTACTTTAAGTTCTGGGATACATGTGCTGAATGTGCAGGTTTGTTACCTAGGCATACATGTGCCATGGTGGTTTGCTACACCCATCAACCCGTCATCCAGGTTTTAAGGCTCACAGGCATTAGGTATTTGTACTAATGCTCTCCTTCCCCTTCCCCTCCATGCCCTGACAGGCCCCAGTGTGTGATGTTCCCCTCCCTGTGTCCATGTGTTCTCATTGTTCAACTCCTACTTATGACTGAGAACATGGGTATTTGGTTTTCTGTTCCTGTGTTAGTTTGCTGAGGACATGAACTCATCTTTTTTTGTGACTGCAAAGTATTCCATGGTGTATATGCACCACATTTTCTTTATTCAGTCTATTATTGATGGCCATTTGGGTTGGTTCCATGTCATTGCTATTGTAAATAGTGCTGCAATAAACATACGTGTGCATGTGTCTTTATAGTAGAATGATTTCTAATCCTTTGGATATATACCCAGTAATGCGATTGCTGGGTCAAATGATATTTCTGATTCTAATCCTTGAGGAAGCACCACACTGTCTTCCACAATGGTTGAACTAATTTACACTCCCAACAACAGTGTAAAAGCATTCTTATTTCTCCACATCTCCAGCATCTGCTGTCTCCAGATTTTTTAATGATCGCCATTCTAACTGGCATGAGATGGGACCTCATTGTGGTTTTGATTTGTGTTTATCTAATGACCAGTGATGATGAGCCTTTTTTCATGTTTGTTGGCCTATAAATATCTTCTTTTGACAAGTGTCTGCTCATATCATTTGCCCACTTTTTGATGTGGTTGTTTGTTTAACATCTTGGATGTTAGACCTTTGTCAGATGGGTAGATTGCAAAAATTTTCTCCCATTCTGTAGGTTGCCTGTTCACTCTGATGATAGCTTCTTTTGCTGTGCAGAAGCTCTTTAGTTTACTCAGATCCCATTTGTCAATTTTGGCTTTTGTAGCCATTGCTTTTGGTGTTTTAGTCATGAAGTCTTTGCCCATACCGGTGTCCTGAATGGTATTGCCTAGGTTTTCTTCTAGGGTTTTTATGGTTTTAGGTTTTACATTCAAGTCTTTAATGCATTCTGAATTAATTTTTGTAGAAGCTGTAAGGAAGGGGTCCAGTTTCTGTTTTCTGCATATGGCTAGCCAGTTTTCCCAGCACCATTTATTAAGTAGGGATTCCTTTCCCCATTGCTTGTTTTTGCCAGGTTTGTCAAAGAGCAGATGGTTGGTGTTATTTCTGAGATCTCTGTTCTGTTCCACTGGTCCCTATCTCTGTTTTTGTATCGGTACCATGCTGTTATGGTTACTGTAGCCTTGGAGTATAGTTTGAAGTCAGGTAGTGTGATGCCTCCGGCCTTGTTTTTTTTCTTAAGATTGTCTTGGCTATCTAAGCCCTTTTTTGGTTCCATATGAAATTTAAAGTAGTTTTTTTCTAATTCTGTGAAGAAAGTCAATGGTAGCTTGATGGAAATAGCATTGGATCTATAAATTACTTTGGGCAGTATGGCCATTTTCACAATATTGACCTATCCATGAGCATGGATTTTTTTCCCATTTGTGTGTATCCTCTCTTATTTCCTTGAGCAGTGGTTTGTAGTTCTCCCTGAAGAGGTCCTTCACATTCCTTGTAAGTTGTATTCCTAGGTATTTTATTCTCTTTGTAGCAATTGTGAATTGAAGTTCACTCACCATTTGGCTTTCTGCTTGTGTATTATTGGTGTATAGGAATGCTTATGATTTTTGCACATTGATTTTGTAGCCTGAGACTTTGCTGAAGTTGCTTATTGGCTTAAGGAGTTTTTGGGCTAAGAGAATGGAGTTTTTATACAATTATGGTCATCTGCAAACAGAGACAATTTGACTTCCTCTCTTCCTATTTTAATACCCTTTATTTCTTTCTCTTGCATGACTGCCCTGGCAAACGGATTTCAAATGGCATGTTACACACTGCCAAAACATAACAACCTCAAAGTCTGTAAATATTACCTGAAAACCTGGTTTCTGCAGACTGCAGACTACACGTCTGGCACCAAATTTAGCTTCTTCACGTGTTGCTCCAGGGCAAATAATTTTTCCTCAGGAAACTCCATGAAACTCCCGCCCCAGCCCGTTGCTAGGAGCCCCCGGGGTTCCGGCTATGTCTTCCCTGCTTTGTTGTCCTGGATGCGAGTTACAGTTCTTGACCCATGAATTCTTGGGGACGAGGGTGGCTGTATAAGAGCCGGATTTGCTTCCGCTCACCAGTATACCTCTGGGTCTACCATATGGCTCCCAAGTAGCCACTAATACTAATACTCGTGATTCACTAAAAACTTGCTGAATGAATGAACAGCCTTCACAAGCATGGTAGGTCCACGAACATGCAGGCAACAAGGGTAGAGTCAGGCTCAACCCAAAGCCAGGCTCTAAATCACTGAACCCTCCTGTTGTGTTTTCTAGATGTAGCTAGTTCTGGTGAACCTTCAGACCTTTGACATGTTTTGCTGTGTTGACAATAACTGAGAATACAAAGGTATGACATTCTGCCTACTCCTGGGGCACTGGCATGTCATCGGTAGGATCTGTAATAAAGAAGTTATCAGAGAAACACAGCTGTTCATGATAAAACAATGGAGCATAAAACGACCGCTCTCTGCCTGCAAATGGTTCATGTACAAATCGAGGTATCTTTGACAGAAAAGAAAACACTTAGTGCCATTTTAATTTATGATTTTCTCAATGAAAACTCCCTGGAATTATGACTGCAAAATTTCTGAAAATAAGCCAACTCAGTTGTTGACTTCTAATATATATTTTAACTAATTGTATATTAAATAGTAGAGAATTAGGAGCTACAAGGAACTTCAGATCCCCCCCCAGCCCTCACACTCACTCCCACCCTCCACCACCTTTTTACAGATGAGGAGACAAGAAATGATATACTCAGCTTCAGACAAGGCATTGGAGGCAGCGCAGGGGCAGCTAGAGCCCAGGTATGTAGGCTCCTCCCTCCGCAGCAAGGTGGCCACAGGATTAACCTGTTTGCACCTTGTGATGTACAAAGAATGCACAGTGCATCCTGCAGCATCAACCCTGGCAGCTGACTAGCAAATGAAAGGCTAAGCATCTCAGAAAAGTATAAATTGTGCAAAAGACACAGAGTGTTAACTATTTGCTAGGGAAATGTAGTTTGCATATCCTGTGGAGTGTAAATTCAGTTATCTCAATCAGAAATTTTTCTTTTGGAAATGGATGAGGCAGATTCTTGTTTGATTTGCAAGTGATTATGAAAATTATGGCTACCATTAGATGACCAGCAAAGTCAGGTTTATTGTAGGGCACATTTAGAAAAGACTTTCTTTTGTAAGAAAAAAATATTCATAAAACTATCATCATACCTTTAGCTTTAAGTCTACATGAGAGACTGGAATGCTGCTATGTTCACCACTGTGGAGCCAGAATGTCTCACCTTTCTTAACTTTGCAGCATAAACAGAATAAAGCTGTTACTTCATACACAAGTAGCTCCATCAATGTGCTCACATTACAAGTCGGACTAATTTTAAGATTGAATCAACCAGTTCTTTGCTGAACTGACTCATGCAATTGTCTGTGTATAGATTCAAATTTCTTTTTCAATTCTACTATAAAAGTGGAAATTTCATATAAGGCTTAGGATCTTTCCAGTTGCACACATTTTTCTTAATTGCATATTGATATAGGAATACATGTATGTTAGGCATGCAGAAGAATTCATTGAGAGTTCTCGAAGGCTAGTATAATTATAGGTTTTGAGCAATTACTGTGTACCAGTAACTTTGAAAGATATTGCCTTGTCTCAAGTCTCAGAACAATTATATAGCCTAAGGATAATTACCTCTTGTTATAGATGAAAAAAACGAAGGCTCAGGTGAAGTTAAGAGATTTGTCTAAGATTACAAAACTAGTAAAAGGTAAAGCCTGATTTTGAGCCCAAGTGTGAAGGAGGTACTCAATACATTGAAGCACCTACTTTTTTTTTTTTAACAATGCATTTTTTTTATACAATACAATGCTTTTTTTATAGTAGCATTGTAATTACTGCTGAAGAGTCTCCTGAAAGTGTCACTTTCTTCATCAGATATTTTCCCAAGGGAAAATAAATCTGAATCTTCTGTGTAGACTTTGGAAAAGTATATTCAACATAAGTATTAATTTTTGAAAATTGAACACAGCCTTCATTTGAGCTGGTGAAAATTTGCAGAAGATACAGTCTGCCAGGATTATAGGGTGCAAGGGTTAAGGAAGGCTTTATAACATTGGATTGGACCTTTATAAATAAGCCTGTAGACCCACAAACATGATCAACCAGTATGGGCTGAGCCCCTGAAGTCTGTGTCCCTCTGAGAAAGTTTTATGACTAAAGAATGGCCTATCACTGTGGCATCATAGAAGTGGAGGAAAAAGGAGAAGGGCTTCCTCTCCACACATCTTCATAAATGAATCTTTGTGCTATTTGTAGTTTGCAGAAAATGACTGTCAGAGACTAATGTCTGGGCAGCAGAGACGGTCAGTGCTGCCATCTTGTCTATCCTGCTGATTCTACCCTGCTGAGCTCAAGCCCCAACAAGGACTGGTTGACCCTGGCCTAGCCAACCACCATGTTTGTAACAGCACCAAGAGCAGTCACCATGGAAATCCACTTTTCAGAACCAAGAGCTCCTGGAGCTGAAGAACAGGCACCCACTGCAAGAGCTTTCTTGTCAAGGGCACGCAAATGAAAATAACCCACCTACACAATCTCCTGCCCCCAGTGCCCAGGCGTGGTTAGTTAGATAGTAGACCTCAGCCTATGATATGCTGCAGGAAATTCATACTTTGAAGTGGAAAGGCTGGGAGGAGGCAGGTGGAGGCATATCATGCTCATGATCATTCTTAGAATAACCACAGCACCCCACGTCAACCCGCCATCTGTCTAGTCACCAGTATGGCCAAGTTCTATAGAAGAAACTACTAACGAGCAAGATGCAAGAAATATGTGAGGGCGAAGAAGGTGACTGGGGCTTCCTCTCTGGATTTCTAGTGTTCAGAAATCAATACTTATGCATAAAAAGGTCTAGAAAGAGAAACACCAAAACGGCAATGTGATCTCTAGATGGTATGATTATGAGTGCTTTTTATTCCTTTTTATTTTTCTATATTTTACAAATTTTCAAATATCCATGCCATACATGTATTATCTTCATACAGATTTAAAGAACACAGCATTTTTATATAGTCTTATGTGAAAACAACCATACTCAAAATTGTGCACACGCATGCAGTCTGATCTTGCCCTTGTAAACAAGAGACATCCTCCAAAGGTTCACTAGGAGGTGGGAGTACAGCAGCTGTTAGTGGTTGTGATTTTGTTTGTGTGATTTACTGATTAATTTTGGAGTGGTTTTTTTTTCTAACTTTTGGAAATGTGTTCTTTACTTTTCCATGCTTCCCAGTTTGCCTGTGTATCCTGACTGTATCCAGGCTTTATGAACTCCTGGGTAATCATGTAACTACATTAGCTTGTCAATCACCCATCCACTCATACCTGGGATCTTACTCAGTTCTCCAGGTTCCCCCCACCTCCTCCAGAAAGTATTTCTGGGAAATACTCAGATGGTATTACAGGCTCTAGACAGCAATTTGTACTCACCTGGGCTAGTCCCTGTGGCTCAAGCTCCCCCACCACCACCCAAGTCAAACTGCACCTCAGTTGAAAAGTTGTTGCCTGACACCATTACCACCTAATCATAGGCAGCTGTCAACTCCGTACCTTGCCTCCTACGGCCGGAGCCTCCCATCTTCAGCCATTTCCTGCTAAGATACCTTACAGCTGCTGTGAGGGGAAAAGGCATATTGCTTCCTCCTTTCTGGTATATGCACACTTTTTGCCCCAACATGTTACGGAGATTTGTGAGCCTGCCTGCTCAGTGTAATCGAACCGAAGCTTAGCCAGAGCACACTCATACTTTGGGCGGGTGAACTGGCACAGTGTCCAGGAAACGTCTGCTCTTCCTGGAACCACCCTCAGCCCTTGTGGCTGATCTCAGTTCCTCGTCTCTTCTTTCATGATCCTTTCCCACAGCTGGCTCGACATGCTCTCTTATTTCTGAATCATATGTGACTGGGTGCTTTCCTTGCAAAGGTTTTGCATCTCCCAAGTAAATTGGAGGTGCAACTACGAATCTACAGTTGGGCATGCAGGGGCAAGGTCCTTAATGTGCCTAATTCCATGGCCAGTGATCTCTCAACTCAGGTGGCCCCAGCTTCACCTCCCAGTACATATACTATGGGAATATTTTTCTCTTGTAATTTCAAAGAGGAAGAAGGAAAATAAACAATTGTTTGAAAGTAAATGAATGATCTATGTCAGGGTGTGTGGAGGAAATTTATTAACTCAAGTGTGTACCATTTGAGGGACCTTGGTCAAATGTCCAAGGGTTATAGGGCTGAGACAGAACTCTGTGATCCTGGCTAGGACCTCTCATAAACAGTTCAGATATTTTGATTTAAAATGAGATTGTCTCTTTATAGGAAGGAGTTTATCATCATTCAATTTGACCCTTCCTTCAGGCTTTGCAGTCCTTTAGTTCAAATAACAGATTAAAATTGTCATTTATTTCCCCAGGTAGAGTCAATTCAGGAGATTTTTTTTTTTCAGGGAAATAACATCTCTTCAATCCCACTTGTTAAAAACAAAACAATACAGAAGAGATGGGCAAAGCAAACAAACAAAATCCTTCTGGCTTTGTTTGGACCTTCTGTTTCTTATTCTTCTTGATTAAACAATTATCAGCCGGAAGAGTTCTGGATGGTTGGGGGGTGTGTGTGTGTGTGTGTGTGTGTGTGTGTGTGTGTGTGTGTGTGTCTGTGTGTTTATAACATCAAGCAAGGATTTGCTGATGAGGGTTAGGAGTTTGTTGACAATGATCTGCTATTGCCATTGTTTACTTTCAATCAGAAACAGTGAGAAAACCTTCAAAGAGTGTTTAAAGTCTCTGCCAATAAATCCCTAGTTCGTGTGAACATTTAATGAGACAGCATTCAGATTTCTAGCGGCAACACGGTCCAGAGTCTGCCTGCCAGAGGAGTAGAAATCAGATCAATTACTAGAATCTACTTAGCTAGCCACAGCTCAGATCCACAAACAGAATATGACCCCCTCCCAAATGATTTGGCTGGTTTTTATTTAGGATCTTGGAATTTAAACTGACTCCATTGCCGACCTTGTATCTAGGTAGGTTTCCAGCTTCAGAATGGGATACATGCCATAGCAGAGCAGGAAGAGACCTCAGAATCATTGTAGTGAACCAGCTCAAAACGAAGGAACAGACACAGGAGAACAGAGGCAACTTACCAGGAAAGGCACAGCGGTCAGATCTTGACGAACCCCTGGATCCTTTCCACCATATCCAGCTGCTTACTTTTACTCCTTTGTTTAAAGGGCACAGGACAGCATGTTTACTCTTATTTCAGGCAGGAACTTACTCAACGTGCCAAAACTTCTCCAAGCCTGCCGTCAGTTTCTGTTGTTTTAACTTCCAAATGAACAAAAATAAAAAGCACTTATGCGTAATACATTCCATCTCAACGCAGATGCAGGACAAGTACTCCAAAAGCGGCATTGCTTGTTTCTTAAAAGAAGATGGCAGTTCCTGGGACCCCAGTGACGAAGAGAGTGTGAACAGCCCCTGCTGGGAAGTCAAGTGGCAACTCCGGCAGCTCGTTAGAAAGGTAGGTAACCTCACCAGGCAACCTCTCCAGCAGGCAGAAAAGGCCGGAAGAATTCCTTAAAGCGAAGGAATCTTTAAGATAATCAAGCCTAGACTCTTCATTCTACAAATAAGAAAACTTAGGCCCAGAGTGTTTAAGTAATTTCCCCCAAATTCATAGAACTAGGAAAATGGGGCATAGCAGCAGAGGGCAGGGCGTGGCTGGCCCCTGGTCTAGAGTTCATACCTGTGCCCCAGACAGCCTCCGCATTTAGTCTAACCTTTTTATCTCACATTATGGAAACTGAGGCACAGACAGGGTAATGAACAGAAGGTCCCAAAGTCATAAAGGATGTATGGGATTTCTTTTTCGTTCAAAAGATAAAGGAGGCCAAATCGTGATTTATTTTCTTCCCATATTGCAGATGTCTGGAGATAAATATTTATTTTTGTATATCTATGCAGATGAAGAAAGAGGGAAGAAAGAGGTAAAAAAAGGGAAGGGAAGAAAAAGATGCTTTGAGAAATTGAAGGGTTTTTTTCTCTTAATTTATAGCCAGTAAATAACAAATTACAGAAAGTATCTATGTATGGATGTTACTTAAACGGGACCTCTAGCAGAGACACGTTAGTTAGCAGTTTATTTTTTTGAATGTGGCAGAGTCAGATCAAATCAGGTTTCTTCTCTTAGGCTCTTCCTTCTTTGTAAGATGGCATTTAATAATATTCACAGCTGGGCATGGGTCCCAGCACTTTGGGAGGCCGAGGCAGGCAGATCTCCCTGAGGTCAGGAGTCAAAGACCAGCCTGGCCAACGTGGCAAAACCCCGTCTCTGCTAAAAATACAAAAATTAGCCAAGCATGGTGGTGTGTGCCTGTAATCCCAGCTACTTGGGAGGCTGAGGCAGGAGAATCGCTTGAATCTGGGAGGTGGAGGTTGCATTGAGATTGTGCCACTGCACTCCAGCCTGGGCGACAGAGCAAGGCTCCATCTCAAAAGAAAAAAAACTGCTTCTGCCTATGTAAAAATATCAGATGAGAACATAGCTGTAAAAATACTCTAGTGTAAACTGTGAACTACACCATTGTTTAAAGCCATAACCGGGGGGAATTCCCAGGGTAGGAGGAGAATGTGTTTTTACACGTTTGTGAGTCCATTGTTTGGTGCTCAGCATCTGTTTCTCCATAGAAATACTGGTATATTGGTGGTTAGGGAATGAGTTTATAATCCTGAGCTGTTTTCACAGTAAAGCCCCGACATCACGTAAGATGCTATTTCTACGGGAAACGAAACTAGACTTCCCCATAGGAGTCCTAGAAACATACCTGTCCTAGAAGCATGGCCCCGGGCTGGGGTGCCCCTGCACACAAGCAGCTGTGATTCCATCACTCCAAATGACAGCGAGTGTTCAGGGTGCAAGGGCCAGGACACTAGGAAAAGCCTGGACTGGAGAACGGTCCTGAGGGAGCCGAGAAATGAAACTCCCAAGTCCCTGGGATAGGGGTTTGGGGAGAGTAGAGGTGAACTGTCCAGCAGGGGAGAGCAATTCAGAACGAGGGTGGAAGGCTGGAGGTCAGGAGAGGGCTGGGTGTCGTGGACAGAGAGTGGGGAGAGAAGAGAAATAGTGGGGACATATCTCTTTCCTGCTATTCCTGTCACTCTCCTTCCCATCTCACATCCTGCTACCAAGTAGAATAGAGAGAAGGTGGGAGAGAACACAGAGGGAATGATGAGAATGTGGGAAAAATAATTCTCTTTTGTTTTTTAAGGCACATTAGTTGAACAGACTTATTCCAGTAAATACCCTATGCCCATTTCATATGTTATCTCATTTAATCCTCACGACAGCCCTGAAGAATAAATTATTGTTAGCCCCTTAAATATATTTTTAAAAGATTAATAAGTTGAAGTTTGGACCAGTTAAATGACTTGAGCAGTCCCACAGAGCCAGTCATTAAAAGATTTGAATGCAGGGCATCTGGCCATGCTTCTAGTTGCTCTTTTTATTCTGACTCCGACATGGTAGGAAAGACCCTTTCCTTTTTGCTGCTTCTCCTTTTCGCCTTCCTTTCTGTTGCAGAGTAAGAGGAAGAGGAAGTAAGAGTGGGGAAGAGAGACACAGTTAGAGAAATGAGAGACAGAGAGATAAGACAGATACTGTGGCTTCCTCTCACTTCTCCTTCTCGTACGTCAGTGCCCAGGGAACTGATTACAGTGAGTCCACCGCCACCCCTCTGTCCCCCATTATCTGGCATCAGGGCTTCAGGTAGAGGGAGAAGCAGAGGGCTTCTGCTTTGAGGTGGAAGTACAAAGAAGGCAAGTTTCTGACAGGTGCAACATTGACCGCGGAGGTGGGAAAGAGGGCAGTGATGGGAGGCGGTGGGGGGGGGGACAGAGCTGAATTCGGAAGCCATGGATGAGCCAAGTCAGGGTCTGCCCATTTAATAGAAAGGTTTGGTTTTCCCTCTTTCTTACTGTTTTTCCCCATTGGTTAGTACGAAGGCACGGGGAGGTTACTAGATATTTAGCAAAGATACGGGATGGTGGGAAAATATCTTTATGTTGAGAATGGCTCAGCCACATTCTCAGAACGACAGAATGACACGGTGTTGTCAGATCATACCTCCGCAGGCTATGTATGTCTGTGGGCATCCTGAAGCAGAGGAAGTGTGGCCTACGTCTTGAGACTTGGGTCTGTCTAATAATTTTAAGCCCCTGGACTCTGTTACCCAGTGCACTTACACACACACATGCATGCACACATACATACACCCCCCCCCCACGCACAAAGTGCCACCCCTAACAGCCACATTTGGCTGACCTCACATG